GGCGCGGTGCTGTGATGGCGAGGCGGACACAGGAGGGGACCGCGGGTCCGGGGACGCGGCCGTGCCCCCTTTTCCCCCTTTACCTCCCTGTCCCCGCTCCGTCCCGGTGCCGCCGGGCCGCCCGGTTCCGTTGAAGCCCCGTTTGGCGGCGCCGGCCCCGCTCCCGTCCTGGTGGCCGCTCGGCCGTTTGCCCGCACGTTTGAAGCCCTCCTCGGTTCCGTCCCTCCGTGCCGCCCTGCAGCGCGGCCCCGACTGCTCCGAGTGCCGCGTCAGCCACGTCTTCTTCAGCTTCTGGACGCCCCCGCGCCCCCCCGCTGGGGTCTCACCGTCCGACCCCGCCGTGTCAAAGGGTCCCATCGCCCCGCATCCCCCCACCGGGCACGGAAGGGCTGCGGGGCAGCGCCCGGCCGTAGTGGGGTCGGGACCCCCCCCTCCCATCGGCCGCTCCTCTCCGGGTGCGGGGCGGTGGGCGCTGCGGGGCTGTGCGCCCACCCAAGGAGCCCCGCAGCTCCGCACCGCGCCGGGATGCGGGGCGGCGTTGGGGGGGGGAGTGAGGGCGTGGGGAGGGGGCACCGCTCTGCCGTCCCTCCACGGGGGTCCCGGCGGTGCCCCCTCCCCGTCTCCGTTCCGCCCCTCCAGCAGCTGCGGCGGCGCCGAGTCCTGGGGCTGCGAGGTGGGATCCTTCCGGGGGTAAAAGTCCTGCGGGAAGGGGAGGGGGCGCGGGGGGGTGTCAGTGCGGCATCAACCCCAACTGGGGGTCCCCAACCCATATCACGGGGGTAATCCATGGCCATCCCCTCCTGGGGGTCCATATCAAGGGGGGGGATCCCTTTAGGCAGTGGGGTTTTCTCACATCTCTGCCCCTCGATGCACCCCCACCCACCCCCCGCCCCACAGCCGCATGGGAAAGGAATGGGGCGCACCCACAGCTCTGCCTCCGTGACTCAGCCCCACGTCTGCGTCACGCCCCCCCCGGCACGGAGAGCACCCTGTGGGGCTGGGGAGCATCGCCCCATTACTTGGGGGGCTGCACCTCTGGGCCATCGCCCTTTTGCATGGGGGGAGTTCTGGGTTCTCTGAGGCTGAATGACCCCCGCTGGTACCCAAATCCCCATGGAGCCCATCCTCACGGACCCTGTTCCCATGGACCTCCATCCCCACTGACTCCATCCACCCCCAAATCCTCATGGACCCCAAACCCCCATGGATTCCCATCCCCATGGATCCCCATCCCCACT